CCCGCCACCCGGCCCCGACTCCGACCTCAGCGTCAGACCCGCCACCCGGCCCCGACCCCGGCCTCAGCGTCAGGCCCGCCACCCGGCCCGATCCCGACCACAGCGTCAGGCCCACCACCCGGCCCCGACCGCGACCTCGGCGCCCGGTCCGGCGCCGACACCGGCGCTCACAGCATTCGGAAGCCATGTTGTGATTTCTCAGCTGTCAGGGGGCGGTTTATTTGTCGATTCGGGCGATATTCGTATTCTAATGAATGCACCGTCGGATAGCGCCGCCCGTCATCCATTAGAGCGGCGCTCGGCAGACGCCGGCCGGCGCGCGCGGCTCTCTATTATGCATGCTGCCGACGCGGCTGCCGACCGACGCTTCGCTCTTATGAAGATATTCCTCGCGCTCCGCACCGGGCCGCTTCGCCGGGGGTGGTGCCTCTGTTCAAATGTATTCTCCGCCGCCGGCGGCGCTGGCCGTAATTTTCTAAAAGCGAGCCGAACGCCGGATAAAAGCGAGGCGGGCCCATAAAAATAGATGGATTGTTTTAACAGAGCGCGGAGGGAACAAAACAACGGCTCAGGCACTGCCTACACTTCCAACAAAGCGCCACGCCGGCTGGCCGATGATTTATTTGGGCCGAAAAGACACGCCGAATTAGCTGTTTGCGCGCTCGGCATTCACGTCGAGCTTTATGAAAATATGGCTACCATATAACACTAGCGTGCAATTGAATGGCCTCAACCGATGGCCGTGCAGGCCAAGTCATTAGACAACAATATCAGCGCTCGCAATGGCAGCGTCCAGTGTCTCAGCCGGGGGGCCGTAATTGATAGCCCTGTGGCCGACCCCGGCTGCGGCGCGACGCTGGCCGCCGGCGGCGCGCGGCACCGCGGGCCCGCGAGGCGTCCGGAGGCGGCCGGTGCGCGCACCAGCCGCCTGTCGACCAATGGCGGCCGTTCCGCCTGAACGCGGTGCCACCTGCGTCAGCCGTCAGCGGCCGCTCTCCGGGGCCGGCGGACGACACGCGGTGCGGCCCGCGCAGCCATACCTCTCCGATTAGGATCGTCCAGGATCGACGGCTCATTAGGGCCGACCGCGACGGCCACTTCCGACCGCAGCGCGGCGGCGTTCTCACGTCAGCCGCGCCGTTTGACGCCACCGCGCGCCGCGAACGCCGCCGGCCCGCGCCGCGAACGCCGCCGCCGCCGGCCGGCCGCCATTACACAAACAAACAACGCATAACACACTAATCAATACGGGCCCGGGACCAGGGGGCCCGGTCGGACCGAGCCGGCGCATCAATCTGCCGGAGGGGCGCCGCCGGGCGCGGAAGCCGCCGTCGCCGCCCTGGGAACACCTCCCGATCCAGCCGATTGCCGCGCGGCGAGACGATCGCGCCATCGTCGCCGCGCCGCTTCCGCCGCGGCGTGTCGGCGCCGCTGTTTGCGCGCTGACCAGGTGCGTGCCCGGCGAAGTCGCCCGCCCGCCGCCAACTGCACTTCCCGTAACCGCTCATTAAATTCAATTAGGCTAAGTATCCGCAGTCGCGAATCAGCCAGCGCGTTCGTGGCGGCGTCTGCGGCGCGGCTGCTCTTTTCCGCCAGACAATGGCCCGATTAGCGCGGCTCGAGCTGGCCTCCAAATCACGCACGGCTTGGCCAGCTCTCTCGGCCGGCCGGCGGCGGCGCCTCTCCGCACGCATGGCCGCCGGCCGTGGTCGCAGCTTTACACGCCGCCGCCGCCGTCGTCGCCACCGCCACCGCCGCTGACTGTCCGCCGACATGCGACGCTGTGATACGGTGCTGGTCCGCTGGTCCGCTGGTCCGCTGCTGGTCCGCTGGCCCAGTACTGGTCTGCTGGTCCGGTGCTAGCCCGCTGACACGCTGGTCCGGTGCGAGTCCGCTGGTCCGATGCTAGCCCGCTGACCCGCTGGTCCGGTGCAAACCCGCTGACCGCTGGTTTGGTGCCAGCCCGCTGACCGCTGGTTTGGTGCCAGCCCACTTACCACTGGTCCGTTGCTGGGGCGCTGGCCCGTTGCTGACCGGGGCCGGTCCGGTCCCGCCTCTGCTATCGGCCGGATGAGCGCCTCGGCGCCGACCCGGCCGCCATGTTGGCGTTTTTGTTGGCGCTTAATGACGAAAATTCGGCGATATTGAAAGAAGGGCCCCGTCCAATCGCGCCGCCTGCCCAAACACAAACACAAAGGCACGACCGCCGCGCTGTCAGCTCTAATCGGCGCCCGCCACTCGCCGCTTTTGTCGAGGAATAAAACAAGACCCGCGTAATTCTATTAATTTGAGTGCAGCACGTAAAAAGCTGTCGACGGGCAGGTGGTGGTGGCGCCGGCGGTGGCGGCGGCGACGCCGGCGCCGCCAAAATGGAGTCGGCTGGCCGTCGCGGTCGCGGTGCGTGTGCGAATCCGGCGGGATCGGCGTCACGCGATCTTGGTGCAGGTCGGCGCCCCCTCCCCCGGGGACGGGGCCGCGCGCTCTGCGGTGGTCCCGAGCGGCAGCTGTCGCCGGCGCGCCGCGCGCCGCCCGCCGTCATGCCCGGCGCTTCTGAGCCATTGTTTTGCGGCCGCAAGGCTGCCGGCGGGACGACGCGGCCCCGTCCTCCCGAACCCCCCCCCCCCCCTCCCCTCCCCCTCCCGCCGCCCCCCGGCCGAGGACGCCGATTGGCGGGCGGGGCAGCGTGGCCGGACCCGGTCGTCTCATTATCTCCATTCTAGGTGGATTAATCTGGGAAGAGTTGGCGCACAATGGAAGCGGGGCTGAGCCCTTTGTACGCGGGCGCCGACAAAGTGGGCCGTCGAGGTGTGGGCATTATCGCTATCAGCGATACCCGAAATACGGCCGGGCCGGCCCAGCCAGCCGTGTGACGAGCGCACAGAGGGATGACACCGGTCCGGCCGAATTAGCCGCCGCCGCGCCGCCTGTTTGTCGCTCCGCCACCGAGGGGAGCAGGGCGGCGCGCGCAGGTCCTGATCCCCGCAGGACGGCGGTGGTGGCCCCTGCTGGCGGGCGCTCCGTGCGGACCATGATCCCCGCACAACGGCAGTCCCGGTCCCTGCCAGCGGACCCTGCCAGCAGACTCTGATCCCTGCATGACGGCGTTGGGGGCCCCTGCTAGCGCCCCCCCCCCCCCCCTCTGCGGACCGTGATCCCCACTCGACGGCGGTGGCGGCCCCTGCCAGTGGACCCTGATCCCGCAGGACGGCAGTCCCGCCCCCTGCCGGCGGACCCTGTAAGCCGTCCGGCTGCCAAGACTCGGCTGTGAGATGGATTTCGCCAAGCTCGCCAGGCGACGTGACGAGCCAAGTAACAAAAGATTGAACCCGGAAGGTTCGACATTGAGATTTGCGCTTCACCCACACAACTACTTAGCTCCATGCTATGATTATTCGTTCCATGTGCCGCACGAACAAATTTTAACGTACCCTCGGCATCGCTGAAGCGCCCGCCTCCGGGTAAACGGTTTATTTTAATGTTTGGGTTTCCCTACAGCAAGCTGCAGATAACCATGAGCTGTTAGGTGGACTTTTTGCCGCGCCCCTTTTGGTCCGGAGGTGTTTTATAGATCCAGTTCACGATATTTTACAGCTTCTCAGAAAGCAAACATTCTAAATGTATCCTCGCTTCTTATCGACTCCCTTCGCAGCCTACCCTCCAGCGTGGCGTTCGCGCCGAGACGGCGTCTTTTCCTCAGCAGTCCCGATCCTCGAGCACCGGCCCGACGATCACGGCCAGCCGCTTCCGGATCCGCGAAGCGACTGGCACGCCCTTGGTCCTCCTCCGACCCCGACCAGGCGGAGCTCCCTCGGTCCTCCTCCGACCCCGACCGGGCGGCGCGCCCTCGGTCCTCCTCCGACCCCGACCGGGCGGCGCGTCCTCGGTGCTCCTCCGACCCAGGCCGAACGGCGCGTCCTCAGTCCTCCGACCCCGGCCCACCGGCGGCCGTGGATGCCGACGCGTGTGGACGCCGCCGCTTCTCACCACCAATGGCGGCCGTCCTGGGAACGGCCCCTCATTATCGACAGGCGGCGCTGCGCACAGGATGCGTGAAACGTTTACTCTAATGGACCGCCGAGTGGGCACTTTTTGCGGCCCTTTTTCGCCGCGGCGTAACTGCCGCGGCGCGGCGTTTTCGGCGCATTCCGCGCCGGCCGGCTGCCGGGCGAGCGATGGCGGCCGCCGGCGCTCGGCGGCGATTTACGGCCGGCCGTGTCGCGCGGCGCGCCCCGATTTACGGGGTGCCGGCGGCCGGCGGCCGACACGGCAGCCGCCGCAGCGCGCCGTGTTTGTCGCCGCCGCTGCCGCCGCCGCCGTCGCCGCCTGCTCGCTCCGAGCGCGGTATGCAGCGGCGAGCCGGCTGCACGCACGTCACCGCGGCCGTGGGGAGCACCGAGGAGCACGTGGGGGAGGGGAGGGGAGGGGAGGTGTGGGTGGTGGAAGGCGCGGCTGAGGAGGGCTGTGGCCGGCGGCGCCACCTCCTGCCCAATCGTTTCCTGCCCACACCTGTGTGTCTGACCCTGTTGGTGTCTTCATCTGTGCTTCGTCGTGTGTGTATGTGTGTGCGTGTGCGTGTGTTGCGTATCTGTCTGTATCTGTCTGTGTCTGTCTGTGTCTGTCTGTGTCTATCTGTCTCTGTGTCTGTCTGTCTATCTGTGTCTGTCTGTCTATCTATATGTCTGTCTGTCCGTGTCTATGTCATACGTCCGTCCGTGCCGCCGCCGTGGCCGGCCGTCGGAGGCCGCGCCGCCACCCGCGTGACCGCCCGGCCGCGGCGCCGCGCACCAGCCGGCTCAGCCGGGCTTCGCCCCATCTAAACAGCATCTAAACACCGGATAGAGTGTCGTGCCCGCTATCCAGCCATCGCGCGCGGTGGCGCGGAGCTGCCCGCCCCCCCCCCCCCCCCCCTACCGCGGCGGCGGCTACGGCCGGCCAGTTTTACGAGCCGATTAGCCGATACGGCGCGGCCGCCAGTGCTCACGCTGTCGCCTCCGTTCCAGGCAAATGTTCCCGCAGATGAAGTTCCGTCTGTCCGGTCTCGACCCCAAGTCCAAGTACATACTGCTGTTGGACATCGTGGCCGCCGACGACTGCCGCTACAAGTTCCACAACAGGTGGGCGTCCGACCGGTCGCCGCGCGCCACGGCGGCTTGCAGGGCCGGCCGGCCGCTCGCAGGAGCCCGGGGCGGCAGCCAACTCATTCGGAAAGATGTACAGTCCTTCGTATCTGCGTCGCGAACCATATGCGGTCTACGTCATTGGTCACCGATTTAATCCCGTCCGACTTTGTTGGCCGTATAGCTGCACGCCCCATTCCACCACTTGCGGGTGCACGATAGGTCCTATTAGGAGTTTTACAGCTAATTAAGCGGCCTGGTATGTCAAGGGGGCATAATAATCAAAGTAAAGATAATAAATCTGGCTTTGGTGACGACGTCCAGTCGACCGAACGCCTACAGAGGCAACTTATCTGTGAAAGTCGTCTGCACATGACGTGCCACTTCGGCTGATGTTTACATGGCGAAAACGCTGACACAGACAACCCCACATGTGCCGTGCACCTGACGTGCTGTAGCTGAATTTATGAAGAAAAAAACACAAGACCACGTCATGTAGCAATGTCGCATCTGTTACCAACATTTACACAGATCACTTTGAGTAGTCCTATTGCATTGATTTTCTGTTGGATCCCGTACGAACACCACCTTGCGGTGCAGCGCGGCCCAGGTCGGTATTCGGCCGGCTGGGTGTTAGTAACCGCCCACGCCGTTGCCTGTCGTCACGGCCATCTTCGCCTGTCGCTAACTGATCTGATCTGGGCTTCCAGCCGTTGGATGGTGGCCGGCAAGGCCGACCCGGAGATGCCGAAGCGCATGTACATCCACCCGGACAGTCCCGCCTCTGGCGAGCAGTGGATGCAAAAGGTGGTCTCCTTCCACAAGCTCAAGCTGACCAACAACATTAGCGACAAGCACGGATTCGTAAGTACATCTGGCCGGCGGCGGCGGTCGCCAGGCCCGGCCGCGGCGGGTGCGGGCCGCCCGCCGCGTGCCCCAAACATTCGGCCCGATCGCGGAATGTCGCTCAGATGCCGACCCGCCTCACCAGGCCCGGCCGGCTCTGGCCTTGGAGGCCCCGCCGCACCGGGGCCTCTGTCCCCCTATCGACGGCGAGAGGCCCGATATACAGCGAGGCGAGACGGCGAGCCCCGACCATGCCCGCCAAACGCGGCGCGCTATCTCTGCGGGCTCATGGGGCCGCGCGGCCGCCGCTTGTGTACGCCTTCCGCGATAGCCGGCCGGCTTCTGCGCGCGGCGCGCCGCGTCTGGCGCCGCGCGGCCTTTGCGGCGCGCCGGCCGCGCGATACCGGCCGCGCGCCCGCCAATTAGCGGGCGGCGGCGGCAGGCGCGCAGGCGGCCTGCGTCACGGCCGGTGTTTGGTCGAGCGGCTGCAGCGGCGGTAGCCGCCGAGTAAACAGTACGCTTTGAAGCGCCGCCGCTGATGCGTTTTACATGTTGTCGGCCGTGTCGCGGCGCCCGGCTCAGCGCGCGCTGGCCGCCGCCTTTCTCTTTCAGCGTCCACGGCTGATCGACGCCGGAGCCCTGGACGTCACGGTCCGACTGCGCGGCCGCCAGCGCACGCGGCGAGCCCTCGTGATCGCGACGCACGCCGCGCCGCGCCGACCGGCCGTAAAATCCGGCTCTGGGGCGGCGCGCGGCGCGGCGCGGCTGAGGAGGCAGGATCGGGGCCGATCTTATCGCACCATCAGGGCGCCGTTCTATCAGCCGGATCGGCCCCCGTCGGCCCGGCCGCCGCGCGGCCGCCTTTGGAGTGAATTAGTTTGTAAAGTCCGGACCGGGACAATTTGACACCGGCCCGATCTGGGACCGACAAAGACGCGGCGGCGGCGAGCACGGCGCGGCCGCGCTGTAACGGAGCCGGCGGCGCGCGCCGGCCGCCACCCTCCGCCCCCGGCCCGCGCCGCTCTCCGCAGTCGATAGCTCATTTATTACGTCCGGACGGGTGCTGCTAAGTCAAACAGATAAATCTGGCCGCCGGCCGCCTGCGCCGCGCCGCCGGCCGGCAATGGCGCCCGATGGATCGGCGGTGTCGCCTCCTGTCGATATTTCATCCGGTCGGCGGCGCCTGGGCCGGCCCGGTTACCTTATGGTTGTGTTTTACGTGGAGTCCCGCCGCGCGGCGTTTGTTCGGGATAATCGCGACGCCGTCCGTCTTTCGGGCCGCCGAGAGCGGCTCAGGGGGAGGCGGGTGGGGAAGGGGAGGATGGCCAACAGAGACGCCGACTGGCGCCCGACGTGGCGACGCCGGTGTGATCTTAATGCGAGCTGGAGAGACTGATACGCGCTTGGCAGGCGATCACAGGGAGCCGACGCGGCCGTGATCGGACCCCGATACGCTGGCTCGGCTCAGCGGAGAACTGTGGGTGACAGCCTGGGCTTGGTGCGACCTGGAGGCACGTCTTGGGTTTTAACTTGAGCTTGAGATTCTGTGAGCGTTGTGGTACAATCCGGCTGTGGCTTTGCATCCGTGGTTTTCCTAAGCGCTTGAGGCTCGTCCTTGGGCGGCAAAAATACTAGTTGGTGAACGGTTCTGTCCAAAATTCTCCAAATATCCTGGTATAAATATTTTAGACGACATGCAACGCAAAATGAGTCAAATTCTTTGGTTGCAGATTTCAGAACTGGGATTTGTGCAATGTTTACCTGCAAGCTGTACATCACCCAATATGCAATGCGGTTTGAGAATGCGTATTCTCTCTCAGAGCATCTGTCTAGCAAACGTTCTGCCTGGTCTTTCGCCAGCAGCCTGCCAAGCCCTATTCGGCTCGTGCTCTGTCTAAACTCTCTGGATAATCAACTCACAATTCAACATTTCATTCCGAGGATAATTTCATTCCCAAAGCAACCCTTTATCAAAATTTCAGGACAACTTTCTACCAGCACATCAATCCAAAATTCCTGTAAGCACACCGCCTGCCTGACCGTTCGAGCCCACCAAGCCTCTCGGGGTCACTCAGGGCTTGCAACACCGCTCGTGTGACCACCGCACGCGGCCGGGCGCCCTCCCTGAACGGCCAGCCCCACGTGTCTGTGGCGGAGCTGCACCGGCCCCCCGTCGGCGCCCGAGGAAGGCGGACGTGTAGCGGGCGTCGATCATCGTTCGTCTCGGCTGCGCCCCCAGCCGGCGCCGTCTCTCGAGCGGCGGGGCGGAGCACGACCAGCACGCATTGGCCACGGCCGGGCCCCGCTCGTCAGAGTTTCACGCCGCATTAGCGGCGGGGCGAGCGCGTTGGTTTTTGACCTCGTGCGTTTCGCCGCGCCCTCGGCCCGTCACGCGGCGTGACAGAGGGCGGCGGTCACGGCGCGACTTCATTAGAGGTGTCGCCGCCCGCCCGGCCGGGGCAGCAGCGGCGCTCTGTTTGCCCTGGCCGCGGGAGAGAGCGGCGGATCAGAGGCGCCGCCGCCGGCCGACAATAGCGGCGCACCCGGCGCGGGCTCGGCCGGCGACAATGGCGGCGCAGGCCCGGCGTCGGCGTGTCGGCGCGCCCCCCGGCGAGCCGCCATTAGCCGCCGCACCGGTCAGCCGAGAGGACGGCCGCGCGCGCACAAAGCGGCGATGAGTGGGCGGATTGTCGGCCCTCGAGTGTCGCACCCTTTGTGCGCCGAACCTACCGCGTCGAACGGAGCGGCGAGCGGGCGGCGGCGGCGGCGGCGGCAAGCGCTCTGCCATTAGGCCATCTCCACCGTGAGAAGTCACGTTCGGCTGGACGTGAATGCGGCAAATCAGGCCCCTTCGCAGGAGAGGCTAATTAGTGGATTACCTATGCCGGCACGCCGCACTCCTGGCGGCGGGCTGACACGTGTAATTGGCCACTCGCAGGCCTGGAGAGGGTCCCAAGTGAAAAACTGCCAGCCAGGGCCTCCGTCAGCTTCTCGACGTTTATGAATTAGCCGGTAGAGGGTGCTCAAGAGAACTGAGAGCTCTGCCTGGAAGGGGATGTTTATACACGTTGTGTCGGGAGACTATTCAGAAACGCCCTCGCGCTGGCCTTCCTGGAGGATAGAAAACAGGCGGAACTCCAACTTGCCCGGCTTCAAAGTTAGGGTTGTTCAGAAAAAATCCCAAAATAGATTGTTGGTTGCATTTGCTGGACAGGTACTCATAACATCTGCCCGCCCCTCCGAAGCCTATCGCGTGATAATAATGTCCAGTGCAGCAAGTTCACCGAAGAAAAGATGACGTGCTGGCGGCAGATGCCCTTGGCACCCGACGACTTGGCCGCGGCGATAAACAGAGCCGCGCTGGCGGAGGACATTGATACACAGCTCGTCGATAATCACGGCCCTCAATCATGACCACGTGACTGGTCTCCCGCCGCGGCCCCGATCACCCCGCGAGAGCCGAGACCGCCCCGCGTGTCGGTCCGGCCACGGCTCCAGCGGTCCGAGCGGTCCAGCCGGTCCGAGGGGTCCAGCCGGTGCGAGCGGTCCAGCCGGTCCTAGCGGTCCAGCCGCGCGGTCCAGCCGGTCCGAGCAGTCCAGCCGCGCAGTCCAGCCGGTCCGAGCGGTCCGGCCGCGCGGTCCAGCCGGTCCGAGCGGTCCAGCCGCGCGGTCCAGCCGGTCCGAGCAGTCCAGCCGCGCAGTCCAGCTGATCTGAGTGCCGCAGCAGGTCCAGCTGTCGACGGCTGACGTAAGCCGTCTCGTCCGCCGTATCAGCCGCCTGGTGTCATACGGGCCCGCGCCCTTGTCCTGCTGCCTGTGCGGTGCGCCCCGGGGACCCAGAGTTCACGCCTGTCGGGGGCGGCGGGTCCGCCTGCTGGCCGGGCCGTGCGGGCCAGCTCTTGCGCCGGCGCCGCCCCATGAAACAATGCCGCTGGGAGCGCGGTGACGTGCCCATGCACCAGGCCCTTTGTGGAGGCGGTGCGGGCGCACCGGCCCACTGCGCCGGCTGTCGGCGCGGCGGCGGGCGCGGTGACAAACAGGACGAACCCGACGCGGCCGCTGCGCCGCTCTTGTCGCACACCGGGCCGGCCAAACAAGGCCGCACACACCACCCACGGAGGTCGCGGTAAATTGAGATGTGCTCGTTTTCGCCGGGCGCATTGTGTCGGGATGTATGGCGGATTCTGCCGAGATAGTCGAGAGCGCCGTCGTTACCGTAAGCCGGCCTTTGTTGATGATGTTGACGCAATTTATGTCCCTCCCACACAAGGAACCGATCGAGTATTTACGTCTAGTCCGCCATTACGCCTGATTAATTTCACAGTTGGGTGAACCACCATTGAGAGGTATATCACCTTCACGACTCGACCGCTCCTGCCCGGCTAATGTTTGGACATATCGCTTATGAAAAATTGGGCAATAGACTCGCGGCCATGTTTGTCGCTTCGGCGCTCAAGTGGTGGATAGAAGGCGAGCCTCGGGCAGCCCATTTTCCGTCTTAATTTCACTTGAGCCGTGAAAAATCACCCAGCCATTCATTTACCTCACGGTTACTGCGCCTGTCCACGCCGAGAATAAAAATGAAGAGGGATAATTGCCACATATGTTATAAAAAGCGGGCCCGTGTTTACATAGCACCACTGAGGGTCGGCCCGGCCACAAAAAACGCTCGGCACTGTTTTTAAATTGATTCTCTCCATATTTCTGTCGGGTAATGAAATGCTGCCGGCGGGCCATCTGCATCGGCTGGCGTCCGATCCCATTAGTCGACGCCGGTGGAATGTGCGCCGCCGCGCCGCCGCCGCGCAGCCAATGAATGGCCCGGTGCATTAATACAATGATGGGCATACCGAGATGGAGGATAGTTGCGCCCGGCGCCACGACGCGCCTGTTTACACACACCCTGAATCAATCGCCGGCAGGGTAATCGATGGTGAGAGGTTCCGGCGGCCGGCGGCGCCACCCCGCGCCACTCCGCGCCCAGTTCATTTGGCGCGGCGGCGGCCGGCGCCGGACCG